TCTCCCACTTCCACAAGAAGAATGTCGGCATCTGGCGATGCGACGGCTGCCCCCCGGGCACAGAGGGACACAGATGGGGGCCCGGGCAGGCTTGCCCTGGCATGTATGGGCGCACCGCTGACCCAGAAGGACTCCGCGCCGGCTCTAACCTGGTCCACGGGCCCCCACCCATACAACTAATGAGGGAGATGTTCCTGACAAAGCGCTGGCACGCGGGCTGGTACTGCAAGGAGTGCCTGATCCACCAATTGGACATGGCCCCGTCAGCAGTGAAACAGGTTCTCGACAGGTGCGGCCCTGACGTATACCCGAGCGCAGGAGCCAGACCTCTCGCCGCACTACAGGGCATCCCCGCCTCGTCGTCAGAAGACGCAGCACGCCCCAACCAGGGGGAAGTGCTGCGACGTGCTGCCGCCTGGGATGAGGAAGAGCGCATCTACTACGAGCGCCTCCACACCTCACTTCCGCCACCTCCCAAGGACAAGCAGCAGCGCCTTGCCTGGGGCCCCGGCGCCGCGGCTTCCGCCCGGCCACCCGCCGGGCACACGTCCAGCAGCGAGCCCCAGCAGCGCGCCGCCCACCGCGCGGGCGTGCGTCCCGACCACGCCTCCAACCAAGCTGAGCCCCCAAGACCCGCCAAGGAGAGGCGCCTGACACCCGCCACCGGCTGTCGGTGCGGCACCTGAGCCCCCCGGAAAGTGCGCGGAACCCAGCGGCAGCGAGCGGCAGCAAGGGCGAGTCCCAGACGCGCCCATCGCGGGCTCCTTTTGCCCGCTCGCAACGGACAGCCCGTGCATCCAGGGCTGCGACTACGTGGTCATCGGGGGCGACGCCTTCCCCCGCGCCAGGTGGTTCAGCACCGCGGACAGCACCGAGCCCCTGTCGACGCAGCCCCTGGACGGAGCGGTATTCGGACCCGTCCTCGACGTCTTGGCCCGCGAACGGGACAGGCGGGCCCAGTTCGTCCAGATCGGCAGCGAGTGGCTGGAAGTATGGGGCGCCGGCAACGGGACGCTACGCGTGAACGTCCTCCGCGGAGACGCAGCGCTCCTAGCAGCAGCCTTCCTGGGCAGTGTCCGCAGCAAGGAGCGCGGGGCGCAGGCGCCAGCGGCCCGCGACAGTCCCAGGCTCGGCGCCGACATCGGGGGCGACAAAGTGCCGTCCCCAGAAGGGGCGCAGACCGAATCTAAGCTCGAACCTTGCCCGCCGCATGCAGACGCACGCACAGGATCCCACCTGCGAGCCTGCGCCCCTTCTGCCCCCCAATGAGGAGGGCCCCGACTGGGCCAGCGACGACCTGGAATAATAGAAGAAGCTGAGCCTCGCAGAGGCCCTACGCACGGTCCATGCGGTCTCCGCATCCTCAGATTCCGACACTGTCGAGGAGCGCCAAGCCAAGACGAGTCCTCGTAACGAACGACGCAGCAGTCCTGAGCACGACTCAAGCGGTGCCGACCAGAAGGCCGCCGATGCGCCCACGGAACCGATCGTGCTTCTGGAGGCCGTTGCCGACGACCGGGAGCTGCGCGCGCGGACCCGGTCCGAAGGCCCGGAAGACAGACGACCTGCGCTCAACCCCCTCCCTGCGCACCAACTAGAGCGCTTGCGCAGCAGGGCGCGGGCGCCAGTCGCCTGGGAGTCGTGCGAGGCGGCGGTGGGGCGCGAGTCCAGAGAGACTGGCGACCAGGCCCGTGCAGGAGGGCACGACCGCGACCGCGACCGCAACGAGGGCGCAGCGGGGGCACCGTGGCGCAAGCACGACGCCAGCGACTGGGACAGAACCTGGGAGCGCTACTGGGACCAGGACCACGACAGTGGCAGGGGCACAGGGAGCACCCCCTGACGCCAGCCAGAACCACGCAGCTCTGACCACAGGGATGATCGCCGCCACCCCGACCCCAGCCGGACGCGGACAATCTTCCGCGTCGACTGGCAGCGCCGCCCGCGCGAGACAGCAGTCGCGCACCTGTAGAGGCTGCAGGCGGAAGGGGGATGCCACTTTAGCGCAGCCTGGCACTCGTGGTGCAGGCATATGTGTAAGGAGCAGGGCAAAGGCACATCCAAAGACCAGGTCGCTTTCGACCCGAACCGCTGGCAGCGTTGGAGCATGGGCAAATTCCTGGAAGACATGAACGCCAGCAGCCATCGCGTGGAAGCGTGGCCTCGCAATGCAGGCGTCTACGTGGACTGGGATCGGCAGAAGGCCTTGTGCCAGGACGTCCAGAGGAAAAGAGAGGTCGCCTAGGGTGATGGGCGCGGAGAGGACCAGGCGCGCAGCTCCGGGAACAACGACAACTGGATTGGAAAGCGCCCGCGGCGCTGACCAGCCGGCGACCTGACCTCCTCGCACTGTTGCAGCGCGACGCGACCGCCTCCACACTCCCACCACCTGTGCCCTTTCCCCCACCCTATTCACCTGACGTGGGACCGTGTGTCTTCCTTTTCCCCCTACGTGTACCCCCGCTGCACTTGTGACGAGCACGGCCTACACGCAGCGACTGCTTGCGGGTCCACTGGGTCTCCGACTGTACATCCTCCTCCCTCCCCCCTCACCTGTCTTTAGCATGTTCTGGGGCCGTGTGTCCTACCTGTGCCCATCGGGGCCCGTCCCCCCATGTGAGCACCTGCGGTGCGGGCTGGCACGACGACGGCTGGCGTGGCGCGCCCTGTCTTCTACATGTTCTGGGACCTTGTGTCCTACCTGTACCCATCGGGGCCCAGTCCCCCCACGTGAGCACCCGCGGTGCGGGCTGGCGCGACGACGGTTGGCGTGGCGCGCCGGCCTCTCTCCTCCCTGTTCGCTTCTTCCCCCCCCGCTCGCTTCCCCCCCTCCCATGGCGGCAGCGCCCGGCACTGCGCGGCTTCGGCCCGGTGCCGGGCGCTGCACCTTGCCGCTTCGGCGGCCCCGCTCGCCATGGCGCTGCGCGACTCAGGCCAGGCCCTCGGCAATGCGGATGTCAGCGCATCGTGTGTGGCTGCTGCCCGTCTTCACGCGCTGACGGTGCAGTGCAGGACAGATTTTCTCACTGCACTCCACCGACATCCTGTCGGTCACGAACGGCCCTCGTCTGTGGCCGCACCTCAAGCAGGCTGCTGCCTGGTCGTGGATTGGACTACCACCCCGGGCCTCATCGCATCACTTGGTGGCACAACGTTGCACATCGCCTCCGTGGTGCTCCTCTTCCTCCTGGGCCTTCTCCGCATCGTCCGGTGGCACAACGTTGCTCATCGCCTTCGTGGTGCTCTTCCCCCTGCTGGACGTCGACCTGGTCAAGTGGCACGTCCTCCTCTGCAGTGCTTGAGGCTGGTGTTCGCGACGTGCCGTTGACGGCAACGCCATATCGCTCGCCCTCCGGGTCTTCCCCCCCGGTCCCTGTCCGCGGCGTACCTTTTCCTGTGCAAGCTCTTCGGCACCGCCTGCACCCCGGGCTCCGCCCGCTCCGGCCGCCTGAGGCCCCGCCTTCTTTTGCCCTGTCTCCTTACTTAAAGCTGTGCGTAACCCGCCTAGCTTTTAGCGGAAGAGGTTCGCTTTCGCCCGCCGACCAAAACAGTATGAATGTATGTATGTATATGTATATGTATATATATGTATGTATGTATGTATGTATGTATGTATGTATGTATGTATGTATGTATGTATGTATGTATGTATGCCTGTATGTTTGTTTGTTTGTTTGTTTGTTTGTTTGTTTGTTTGTTTGTATGTATGTATGGATGTATGTGTGTATGCGTGTGTGTATGTATGTATGTATGTATGTATGTATGTATGTATGTATGTATGTATGTATGTATGTATGTATGTATGTATGTATGTATGTATGTATGCATGCATGTATGTATGTATGTATGTATGTATGTATGTATGTATGTATGCACATGCACGCACGCATACATCTATACATATCAGCGGTCGTGCTTTCTGCGCGACGTGCTCTTCACAGCATCGGATGCCTGCGAAGGCTTTGGGGGTCTCTGGGCGGGAGCCTTCGGAGCTCCCTGGGAGCTTTTGGGGCGCCTCCTGTGACTGGCACGGGGCGGCAGTGGCATGGCGCCCTGGGCGGGTTCTGGGAGAGCCCTGGGAGCGCCCTGGGAGCCCTGGGAGGGTTTCGTCAGCCCTGGGAGCGCCCTGGGACGCTCGGGGAGCGCCTTGGAGCGCCCTGGGGAGGGCCCCGGGACGTCCTGCCAGCCGCCCATCCCCGGCAACGGACGGCCCGCGGCGCAAGGGCAGCCGTGGGGACGGGGTCGGAGCCCGCGACGGCCGGAGGCCTGGACGGACCCCCCCGCTCCCCCAAAGGGGAGTCCCCAGGAGTCCCCGGCTGCCCACCCCTGGCCGTGCCCAGCCGGGGGCCCCGAGCGGCCCGGGCGGCGTGCGAGCCTGCTGGCCAGGACCGATTCGATACGGATTTTGGCCCGCTCGGTCCGATTCGATTCCGATTTGCCGTCGATCCGACGTGGCCCGAAGTTAGCATGGCGCTGCTGTGCATCCTGGCGCTGCCGATCCGATTCGACTCCGGCTCCGTGCCGATGCAGCCCGATCGGACGCACGTTCCGGTCCGATCTGACTCGCCGATTCGATGCTGACTGATCCTGGGCCCTGGGGGCGTGTCCGCCAAATCCTTGGGCCCAAGGGGGTGGGCTGGCCAAGATCGGTGCACGTGGATGGGTCGCGTTCTCCAAGAGCCTCCGAACATCTTCGGGGACCTTTGGTAACGTGCCGAAGCTGTGGAGAACAACGACCAACGAAGCTCTGGATAACAACGAAGCCAGATGATGAGATGGCAGGCGCACGCGATACTAGCCATTGGTGTAAGACATCTGGGAGCCCCCCTTTGTTCGCCCAGGATTAATGGCTCCCCGTGGGACACCCGCCAGCAAGCCAGTTTCTCTTTCGACGTGCTACTGCACCGAAAACGTGAGGAGCGCCCTGACATTCGCCCATGTTGAGCAGCGCCCTGGCATTCGCCCAAGGTGACGAGGCACTTCTTTTGGATCTTCCCAAGGTGAGGAGCGCCCTGGCATTCGCCCACAACGTGGACGCGAACCAGGTCGCCATTGCGGACCTGTCGCAGACGGACATTAAGGGCCACTCGGTGCTGACCTCATTTCTTGATCTTTTCCCTCCTTGTCATGTCCTCTTTGTCGTCCTGGTCGTGGCTGTGGTTGTCGTTGTGGTGGTTGTGGTCGCCGTGGTCGCTGTGGTCGCTGTGGTCGCTGTGGTCGCTGTGGTCGCTGTGGTCGTCCTGGTTGTCGTCGTCCAGGTGTTCGAAGGTCCATCTTTTTCGGCGACTCCCCTTCTCTCTCCATCTGTCTCCGTCTTTGCCTCCGCCTTCGGCGCCTGCTCCTCCCTCTGCCGCTCCTCCCTCCCCCCTCCCCCTCCCCCTCCCTTCTCCCCCCTCTCCCTTCCCGCCCCAGAGGAGCAGGAGCAAGCAAGCAAGCAAGCAAATCCGGCCGGGCGACTCAGAGAGCCGCTCGCCCCATTAATGGGGACGGAAATGAGGACATTGTGAAACAGAACGACTACCTGTGCACAATATATGAAACTGGAAACTGCAGGAAGCTGGAGGAGAGCCGCTGCCGCCCGCGGACCGCTGCCGCCCGCGGACCGCTGCCGCCCGCGCATCGCTGCCGCCCGCGGGCCGCCTCGCCCGCGGGCCGCTCCGCCCCCCGCGTGCTCGCCGCGCACCGATGGGGCTCCCTCGCCCGCCCGCCCGCTTATGGCCCGCCGCCCCGCGAGGCGGAGGAGGAGGAGGAGGAGGAGGAGGAGGAGGAGGAGGAGGAGGAGGAGGAGGAGGAGGAGGAGGAGGGAGGAGGTATGGTATGGTATGGGTTTGCGCTAAACGCGGGGTCAAGCCCCAAATCAGAATGGCTCGGCGTCGGAGTCGCCCTCCTCAGGGCTGTCCGCGCTCCGCTGCAGGGCCGAGCGGCCGAGGTCGCGGACCAGTTCGAGCTCCCCCTCCCACAGCCCAAACGCCCTCAGAACCTCGGCCCGCCCCCCATGATCAGCCCGCCCCCATCCGCCACTGGCCCCGACGCTTGGGGCCGCGGGCTGTGGCTCTGGGGGCAGGCTCAGCTCGGCCTCGGCTAGGCTCGAGCGGGTCGCTGGCAGCACTCCATGCGGCTTCCCGACCTTCAGCGAGCGCACATTGGCGCGGTAAGAGGGGAATTCTCCTTTCTTGATCCTCCGCAGCTGGTCCACTCCTCCAGCTTTGGCCTTCTCGGGGCACCACCCCATGAGACCCGAGGTTAACTTGCCGTCCGAGGATACGGTGCCACAGCGGCAACAGAAGACGACAGAAGAAACGTGGGCGGTGCGACTGAGCACATCTGCCTCCAGCAGGTTGTGGCCTTGCCACCAAAAACTGGCGTCTGCATACTCTTCCCACCCGTCGCCCACCCCGTACGACGACCCCACCTCCCCACCACTGCTGCACGCCTGGGGCACAGGCTCGGGGTCCTCTGGGGTCTCTGGGTCTTCCTCGGCAGTAGAGCCCCGAGACCTCCAGTACGCTTCCATCAAATCTTCGTGGTCCTGGCCATTGGACTCAACGTGCACACAAGCCGCCCATCGGGCGGATTCTTGGGCTAAAAACTTAAAGCCTTGCCACAACTGAAACTGCTCCTCACCCACGCCGTGCTCCGCAGCACCAAGCTTCGCAAACCTGTCGGCGTGGGCGTTCCCTCTGTACTCCCACTCAGTGGTAACACCCGCATCTACCTGGGCTCTGGTGCAGTGGGCCTTGGTTTTAAAAACTTGGAAATCCCCTTCTGAGAACGCTCCCCAGAACGGACTCCAGAGCTGGGCCCGACCACAACTGCTTTGGGATCCAGCGCCCGCGCCGCCACGGAGAGTCCCAACAGTGCCTGCACAGTCGATGAAGACATCGAAGGGCGCCATAGCACAAACGCGCAGCATTGAGACGGCGTAGTCCTCCGCGTCTCTAGAACTCTGCTTAGGGCACATACTGCATGGGACGGGCCCGTAGGCCGCCGAAACTACATTTCCAAACCTATCTACCTGCACGATGGCCCAGCCCGCTCGGGCCAAAAACGGAGCCGAGGCCCATAAGGCCGAACCGTCTAAGAACAGCGTGCCACTCAGGAGCCCTGACTCAGGTCTGTTGTGCCACAAGATGGTCTCTTGGGCCTCGGTCACGACGGGGAAGACCAACTCTGGCGACGGGAACAGGCCTCTCGCAAACCTCTCCCCCTCGTCGTACCCCCATTCGCGGACCCTGCGAGCCCTCGTCCTGTGGAAGTCGTCAACCCATTCACGCCTGAGCCCTGCATGCTTCGGGCACTCGTATGCCCTGTGCCACAAGGACCCTTCAGGATCACCACATACAAGACACCTCGCTGAGCCGACAAGTCCATGGTAGTGGAGCCGACTTTGTGGCCAGTGTCCTCCAGAAACCAAGGATCTCAACGTCCTCTGAAAGGGAGGCGGAGGAGGAGGAGGAGGAGGAGGAGGAGGAGGAGGAGGAGGAGGCGGAGGAGGAGGAGGAGGAGGAGGAGGAGGAAGCGGCCCCCCTGGGCGACGCGGTCCTCGGTGGAGCGGTCCGCCCGCGTAGCGGTCCGCCTGCGGCGCGGTCCACGGGCGGAGCGGCCTGCCGGCGAGGAGGTCCCCGGTGAAGCGGGCGGGGCGGGGCGGTCCGCCGGCGCAGCGCTCTCGTTCCTCGCCGAGCGCGTTCCGCTGCTCGCAAAGTGCACACCCGCAAACGTCCCAAAAGCCATGCGTCTGCCTTTGTGTAATAGATCGTAGATCCCCTGCGGGGGATCCAGGCCATTTGCGAGTGGCTACTTGGCGAGTGGTGGAGCGCGCTTGTCTAGTTCCTGAGGGAGGGGAGGAGGAGAAGGAGGAGGAAGCAGGAAGTTTTCAGGCTGTTCTAGAGCTCCCTCGCCCTCCTCCTCCTCCTCCTCCTCCTCCTGGCTCCCTCCCCGCCTCCCTGCCCAAAGGGGCCGGGTTCTGCCCACTGGACTGAGGTAAGAGTCCCGAGGGCCCGATCTTGATCCTGATCCCCCCCCTGCCGCCCCCCCTCGCATTCCGCTCCCTCCTCGATCATCGGCCACCTCGCCTCTTCGACGTCTGCCGACTGCCCCTGGCTGTGGAGTCTGGCAGGCCCCGCCGGAACGACCAGCGAGCGCTCGGAACGAGGGGGCCCTGGGGCGCCACGCGCTCGGCCAGCTGCCCCCCCGCCGCTCCAGAACTCCACCGACCTGGGCGTCAAGTACACCGTGCTGAACTTCGCCCAGCTGCCGCAGTTTCTCCAGGCGTGCGTCTCGCGGCTCCTCCCTTCTTCTCCCTCCTCCCCCGGCTTGTCCTCCTCGTCGTCTTCCTCCTCCTCCTCCTCCTTCCTTCCTTCCTCCTCTCTCCTTCTCCTCTCCCTCCCCTCCCCTCCCTCCATCCCTACTCCACATTGATGTCCCGCTACGGACTGTCGGCAGCAACTCAGCCAACATCACCGCTGCTGTCCCGCCTACAGTGTCGGATTTCGCCTGCTTCACCCCTTTCGGCCTCCTCCTGACCTTTCTTTTGCTTCCTAATTCTTTACGCTTCGCGTATCCCCACCAGCCCATCTCACAGCAGCAACTCTTACGAAGCATGCCGACAGTCGTGTTTTTCAGGCGTGTGTCCGCTTGGCCCCGCATATCTCCCCTGTTCCTCCTTCCTCCCGCCTCCTTGTACATCCTCCTTGTGGGGGGAGCGGGAGAAGGACGAGGCGGAGGAGGAGGGAGAGAAAGCGCTCCTCGTGATTTGAGTCGTTTGGGGTTTCTCGTCCTGGTGTGAGTCGTTCGGGCCCTTCTTCCTGGTGTGAGTCGTTCGGGCTCTTCGTGGTGTGAGTCGTTCGGGCTCTTCGTCCTGGTGTGAGTCGTTCGGGCTCGTTCGTCCTGGTGTGAGTCGTTCGTGGTGTGATGGTGTGAGTCGTTCGGGTCTCGTGGTGTGACCCCTCATCCTGGTGTGAGTCGTTCGGGCCCCTCCTCCTGGTGTGACTCGTTCGGGCTCCTCGTGGTGTGAGTCGTTCGGGGCGTCCGTTCGGGTCGTGGTGTGAGTCGTTCCTTCCTGGTGTGAGTCGTTCGGGCCCCTCCTTGTGGTGTGAGTCGTTCGGGCTCTTCGTGGTGTGAGTCGTTCGGGCCCCTCGTCCTGGTGTGAGTCGTTCGGGCTCCTCGTGGGGCCTCTTGGGGGCCTCTTGGAGCCTCTTGGGGCCTCTTGGGGGCCTCTTGGGGGCCTCTTGGGGGCCTCTTGGGGCCTCTTGGGGCCTCTTGGGGGCCTCTTGGGGGCCTCTTGGGGGCCTTGGGGGCCTCTTGGGGCCTCTTGGGGGCCTCTGGGGGCCTCTTGGAGGCTTCTTGGGAGCCTCCTGGGGGCCTCTTGGGGCCATCTTGGGGCCTCTTGCGACCTCCTCAGAAGCGCAAATGAGCGCTGCCCCCTTTGAGAAGGACAAAATGAGCCCAAAACCTTTTGTAAAATCAATGATTTTGCTATGAAGGAAGATGAGCGCTGCCCCCTCAGAAGGCCAAAATGGGGCCAAAACCCTAGTAAAATCAATGATTTTGGTTCAAAGAAGAGAGAGGCGCCAAACGGCCCCCCCCCCCCCCTCGGGGCCAGAATCCTCGTGAGGGTCGTCGTTTTTTGGCCCTCCCAGGCGTCGAAAAAGACACCCCTGACCACCCGCGGGACTCCCTGTCCAGGCCCAGGGGGAGGGGGTAGGGGGAGGGGTAAACCCCTCCCCGAAGGGGAAGAAGGGGGTTGGGGGGTTGAGGACAGAGGGGGCTCTCTAAACTAGTAGTAGTAGTAGTAGTAGTAGTAGTAGTAGTAGTAGTAGTAGTAGTAGTAGTAGTAGTAGTAGTAGTAGTAGTAGTAGTAGTAGTAGTAGTAGTAGTAGTAGTGGTAGTAGTTCTAGTAGTAGTAGGACTCATAGTAGTGCGAGTAGATATGGTAGTAGTCGTAAGAGTAGTTGCAGTTGTAGTAGTACGAGATGATGTAGTCAAACGAGTATGAGTAGTACTAGTAGTAAAAGTAGTACTAATCGTGGGAGAAGAAGTAGTAGTAGATGTCTTTTCGAAGCCGCTCGGAAGCCTCTTGGGGCGTCTTCGGCGCCTCTTGGGGCCTCTTGGGCAGCTCTTGGGGGTATCTTGGGGGCCTGATGGAGGCCTCGTGGTGCCTCCTGGGGACCTCCTGTGGGCCATCTGGGGACCTCTTGGGGCCATCTGGTGGACCTCTGGGGACCCTCTTCGGGGGCTTGTATGAGCGCTGCCCCTCCTCCTGGTGTGACTCGTTCGGGCTCCTCGTGGTGTGAGTCGTTCGAGGCCCGCGTCGTGGTGTGAGTCGTTCGGGCTCCTCGTCGTGTGAGTCGGTCGGGCGCTTCGTCCTGGTATGAGTCGTTCGGGCCTCTCCTTGTGGTGTGAGTCGTTCGGGCTCTTCGTGGTGTGAGTCGTTCGGGCCCCTCGTCCTGGTGTGAGTCGTTCGGGCTCCTCCTGGGGCCCCTTGGGAGCCTCTTGGAGGCCTCTTGGGGCCTCTTGGGGGGCCTCTTGGGGGCCTCTTGGGGGCCTCTTGGGAGCCTCTTGGGGGCTCTGGGGGCCTCGTGGGGGCCTCTAGGGGGCCTGTTGGGAGCCTCTGGGGGCCTCTTGGGGGCCTCTTGGTGGCCTCTTGGAGGCCTCTTGGGAGCCTCCTGGGGGCATCTTGGGGCCTCTTGGGGGCCTCGTGCGACCTCCTCAGAAGCGCAAATGAGCGCTACCCCCTGAGAAGGACAAAATGAGCCCAAAACCGTCGTAAAATTAATGATTTTGCTAGGAAGGAAGATGAGCGCGGCCCCCTCGGGAGGCCAAAATGGGGCCAACACCCTCGTAAAAGCAAAGATTTTGGCTTCACAGAAGAGGAGGGGGCTACAAGAGCGCCCCCCCGTCGGGGCCAGAATCCTCGTGAGGGTCGTCGTTTTTTGGCCCTCCCAGGCGTCGAAAAAGACCCCCCTGACCACCCGCGGGACTCCCTGTCCAGGCCCAGGGGGAGGGGGTAGGGGGAGGGGTAAACCCCTCCCCGAAGGGGAAGAAGGGGGTTGGGGGGTTGAGGACAGAGGGGGCTCTCTAAACCACTCACGCCCAAAGGGCTGGTGGGACTTTCTCCGGGTGGCATCACAGTGAGTGCACTCTTTGTCCTTGCGCGCTAATCGGATCTTGTTTGACAGTTCTGTTTTCACCGCCGCCAACATGTAAGGAGGGGAAACAACACACAGACACAATTAATCGCCAATTCCTAGAAAATATGGGAAAATATGGGAAGTGGAGGGGAAGACAGAAACCCAGAAAATATGGGAAAATATGTGGAATATTTTTATTTGTGTGTATTTATTTGTGTGTCCCAGGGCCCCTTCAACATGTTGCGTGCTGTCACATGCTTTGTCCGGTTACTAGGGCCACCTTGCCTCGGTCGGCCTTCCCCTCTTTTCTATCCGTGGTTCGACGCGGCGGCTCGACAGCCTGTGTTGGTTGGCGCGGCGAGGAGGAGTATGCGGCACGGGAGCAGGAAGAGCCCGAGGAGGAGCAGGAGGGACCTTGGAGGAGCCCGCCCCCCAACAACCGTCGTCCAGATCGGGAGCGACTCCAATCAGACGCTCTTCGTGAACAGCTCCGTGCAGGCCTCCGTCAAGCAGGCCGTGCAGATGGGGGACGCCTTCGTGAAGGCGTCTTCCTCGATGGAGGATGAAGAGGAGGAGGAGGAGGAGGAGGGGGCAGAAGGAAGAGTCGGATGGCGAGGAAGATGATGAGGATGGTGGTGGTTATGGTTGTGATCGTGGTGGTGATTGAAATAGGTGTAATGATGATGGTGATGCTGCTGATGATGATGCTGATGGTGATGATAACGATGACTATGATGATGATGCTGATGCTGATGAGGATTATGATGACGACACTGATGTTGTCGTTGATTGTGATGACGATGCTGACGACGACGAAGATAACGATGATGATGATGCTGACGATGATGTTGATGCTGATTAGGTTGATGATGGTGATGCTGATGATGCTGACGATGTTTGTGGTGACGGTGATGAGGATGCCAATGATACCGATGACGGCGATGCTGATGCTGATGCTGATGATGATGATGGTGACCATGCTGGTTGCGATAGTGATGATGATGATGATGCATATTCTGATGATGAGGTTGCTGATGCTGATGATGATGATGACTCTGATATTGTTGCTGATGGTGATCATGGTACCGACGATGACGATGATAGTGCTGATGTTGATGCTGATGATGTTGATGATGACGATGATGATGATGCTGATTATTGTGATGATGATGATGACGATGCTGCTGCTGATGATGATGATGCTGATGCTGAGGCTCATTATGATGATGTTGTTGATGATGATGATGCTGATGATGACGATGCTGATGATATTGGTGGTGACGGTGACGAGGATGCCGATGATGCCGATGACGGCGATCATGAAGATAATGATTGGCTTACTGATAATGATGGATGTGATGCTGATAGGGATGCCGAGTGTTGCGATGATGATTCTGTTAATGATGATGCTTATGGCCATGGCGATGACGATGATGATGCTGATGATGGTAATGGGGATGATGCCAATGAGGATCACGATTCTGACGGCGACGCGTACGATGCGGATGCTGATGGTGACGATGATGATAATGATGCTGATGATGATGATGATGATGATGATGCTGTTGATGATGATGATGATGATGATGATGATGATGATGATGATGATGATGATGACGAGGCTGCACTGATGGTGACGATGCTGATGATCATTATGATGAGCATGCTGCTTAGGATGACCGTACCGTGGTGATCATAATGATCACGATTCTGCTGCTGATGATCATGATGCTGATAGCGGTGGTGGTGGTGAAGATTGCGACGGTGATGGCGATGGGGGTGATGCTGGGGATGCGGATGAGGATGAGGATGCGGACGACGATGATGACGATGATGATATTGATGATGATGCTGATGATGCTGATGCTGATGATGATGCTGGTATTAATGATGGCAATGATGATGCTGACAATGCTGATGTTGTTGTTCTTGATGATGTTGTCGACGAGGGCGACGACTGTGATGATGTTTCTGGTGATGGTGACGGTGATGATGCTGATGATGTCGATGACGACGATAGTGACGTTGCTGGTTAATTTGCTGATGATAATACTGATGATGCAGAGCGCTGCGATGATGTTACTGTTAAGGGTGATGCTCATGGGGATGTTGACGATGATAGTGATGATGACGATGAGGAAGCTGATGCTGACGATGATGAATATCATGCTGATGCTGATGATTATTATGATGCTGATGTGATGGTGGAGACAATACAGATGCTGACAATGTCGGTGACAATGCTGCTTCTGTTGCGGGTGATGATGATGATGCTCATGATTATGATGATGGTGCTGATGAGCGTGATGCGCATGATGATCGTATTGATCATAATGATCATGATGCTGCTGCTGATGATGCTGATAGTGGTGGTGGTGATGATGATGCTGTTGCTGCTGCCGGTGATGATGATTACGACGATGGGGATGATGATGAAGAATATTATGATGATATTGGTGATGCTTGTGATGATGATGATGATGATGATGGTGATGATGATGTTGATGCAGATGATGACGACGATACTGATGATGTGGATGATGATGCTGCAGGTGATGATAACGATGATGACGTTGATGATAGTGATTAAGAATAAGATGATTATGATGACGTTGAGCATGATGATGATGATGAGGAGGGTTTTCTGGAGGAGGATGAGGAGGAGGTTGATAAAGCGGAGTGAGGAGGGAGGTAGAGAAGGAAACGAGCATGATGGTGAGGAGGATGTGGTGGAGGAGGAGGTGGAGGCGGATTAGGAGGAGGAGGACGTAGTGGTGGAGGAAGTGGCGGCTTTCGGAGGAAGTCGGATGCTTTCGAGTAGCTTTCTCAAGTCTCCGAGAGTTGCCAGACGGGGTGAGAATCAGGAGGCGGAGGCTGGGGAGGAGCAGGAGCAGGAGAAGCGCGATGAGATGGAGGGGACGCCTTCGTTATTGTCGATGGCTGCCTGACCTCCTCTGGCTATTTCTCCTCGTTCTCGTCGTTTTCCTCCCTGTCTTCCTAATCTTCCTCTAAGAGGGCCTCGTCGTCGACGAATCGAGGGGGCGACCCGTCCTGCTCGGCGGAAAGCTGGCGGAACGCCCGCGGATGTAGGCGGACGCAACACGATATGCCGGCGGAAGGCGGCGAGACCACCTTACGAAGGCCATCGCCAGCGCCACGAGGGACCCTGGAACCGTCTATGCATGTATCGGAGTATCTCTACAATTGTTCTTCCTCTCGTCCTTCTGTCTTTCTGTTTCTGTCTGTCTGTCTGTCTGCCTGTCTGCCTGTCTGTCGATCTGTGTCTCTGCCTCGGTCTCTGTCTTCTTCTGTATCTTTGTCTCTGTCTCTGTCCATCTATCTTGTCTGTCTTTATGTCAGTCTGTCTGTCTGCCTGTCAGTCAGTCTGTCTGTCGGTCTGTCTGTCTGTCTGTCTGTCTGCCTGTCTGTCTGTCGGTCGGTCTGTCTGTCTGTCTCTCTCCCTGTCCCTCTCCGGCTCTGATATCCGTGCTGTGATAACGGGCTTCTGCAGCGACGCAGGGTTTGAAGTGGCCAGATGTTCGGTATCCAGAACACTCGAGAAGCAGTTGACTAGATAATGAAAACGCATGGGCGCCGTGGCGCGGCGAATTGTCTTAAGCAGCGCAGCGGTTAATGGCCACGACATTTTCCTCGCTCGCTCTCCCTCACTCATCCCGGCACCCCTCCCTCCCTTCCTTGATCCCACTCTGCGCAACGTCTCTTTTTCTGTTCCTCTCTCCCTCTTGCTGTTCCCCCCTTCTCTCTCTTTCTCTCTAGTTCTCTCTTACATCTCGCTCGCTCTCTCCCTCTTTTTTTGTTCTCTCTTTATCTCTCTCTTTCAGATATTCTTCTCTCCGCCCCCTCCTTCCGTGTGTGTGTGTGTTTGTGGTTGTATGATATTGCTCTCTCTCTCTCTCTCTTCTTCTTTTCTCTCCTCTGGTATCATATTCTCTGGTCGTCCTCTTTCGTATTGCCTTTTATACTTCTTCAGCCTTCTCTCATCGAGCGCGTTCCACTACTCGCAGGGTGCCTACTCACAAACGTCAGAAAAACACATGTCTGCTTTGATGTAATGTATCGAATCCCCCGCGGCGGATCAGGGTCATTTGCAAGTAGGCACTTTGCGAGCATTGGAACGCGCGTGTCCATTCGCACACTGGTTTATGATATCGTCTCGTCAGTCAGCTGCCTTTCTCTCTTTCTCCCTCTCTCTCTCTCTCTCCCTCTCCCTCTTCTCTTCTCCCCCCCCCCTTTGCGCCACAGCTGCCTGTCAGGAGGTGTCCAGCTCTCTGCGGCCACTGCTTTGTGTGCACGCCTCCCCACGCAGGCCGAGGGCGCCCGCATCGAGCAGGAGATGCTGCAGTACCAGAACGACCCCAGCGAGGCCGTCGTCGCTGCGCCTGGTGTGTACTACAGTCATCGTGCTATCATCAGGAAAGTGGACTTAGGAGCGAATGGACTGTCCTGGCTGCGCGTCCTGTGCACGGGCTGAGTTCAGCTTTTCACGCAGAGGCACCAGCACTGGAATGGACCCTGTCACAGTGTTCGTTTCTTTTGGCAAGCATTCGTAAACATCCAGTGACAACGTCATCGGTTTCGGGCCCTTCGGGTCTGCATGATGAGCCGTGCTTTCTCCCTTCCCCCTTTCCCCTCCCTTCTCCTCTTCCTTTCGCCCTCTGCTTTGTCCCCGTCCCTGATCCATGTGGACATCCCTGGTCTAGGTTTGTACCCAAGTCCCTGTGGAGCTCTTGAATGAGGGCCGCGGCGGTGCCTATTTGTCTCTCCCCTTCTCCCGCTCTGTCGTCGCCGCCGCTGCCGCTACCGCCCCTGCCGTCCCTTCCCACCTCCACTGCGTTGCCGTAGTTGAGCGCTAGGGATTGCTAGGGCGGACCCGACCCAAAGAAAGAAAGAAACGACCCAAATCTGAGGAGCGGCCTGAAAACCAGAGGCCCTTCTGAGCTAGAAGCGGTCCTTACGTCAGCGTCTTGATTGTACTTAAGAGCGCCCCGATCTCCTCTCGTCGTGAACACATTATCGACAAGACCTTTTTTTGCCGTTTTGGTCCTCTGGGGGTATTCATCCCGCCCCTGGACGGTGAAAGACTGGCTCGGAATGAACAGCTGGTCCCGGGGAGGGGGTGTGTTATGTGAAGAAAACCGAAAAATGGGAGATCAGGGAACGATGTTGAAGAGGATGCTTGCGATCGTGATGGTAATGAGGATGAGGATGAGGATGAAGATGAGAAGGATGATGATGATCAGGATGATGAGGATGATGATGACGATTCTGATGACGATGATGATGCTGCTGAGGATGATGAGATGATGAGATGATGAGTTGATGGTGAATATGATGATGATGACGATGGTGATAATGAGGATGACCATGATAACGATGACACGGAGAAGTGGCTGATGATGGTGATGATGGTGATGCTGATGATGGGATAGTATGAATTTTGCATTATTGATGATGGTGATGATGACGATGCTGATGGTGATGATGATGCGCATGATGATGACGGTGATGAGGGTTATGCTGACGACGGCGATGTTCTTGATGATAGGGCATGGGAGGAAGATGGACAGGTTGAACATGACGATGGTAATGCTGATTATGATGATGACGACGATGATTCTTGCAATGATGCTGATGATGACGGCCATGGCGATGCTATTGATGACGACGATGATGGCGATATTGACGATGATTATTATGATAATGATTATTATGACGACGACCAGGGTGATGATGTTGTTATTGTTAGTGATGGCTATGATCATGACAACGATGATGATGGTGACGATGATGATGCTGCTGCTGTTTTTGATGATGATGATGCTGGGAAGTATAAGAGGAGGGTGATGAGGATGAGGAGCATGGTGGGGAGACTGAAGACGAGCAGGGGTAGATGAGGAGCAGGTGGAGGAGAATGAGGACAGGGATCGGATGATCATCATGAGAGGGATTGTGATGATGATGATGATGATGATGATGATGATGATGATGATGATGATGATGATGATGGTGATGATGATTATGATTGTGATGATGATGGTGATGATGTTGATGAGGAGGGTGATGATAACGACGAGGATGATGACGATGCTGCTGATGATGAAGATGATGCTGCTGCTGATGAGGCTGCAGATGATGATGATGATGATGATGTTGTTGGTACTACTTGATGATGTGTGGTGGTGACGGTGACGAAGATGCCGATGGTTATGAGGTCGATGACACCAATTGTGATGGTGAGGCCGCTGGTGATGATGCTGATGATGCTGATGATGATGATGCTGGTGATGCTGCTGATGATGATGCTGATGCTGGTGAAACTGATGATGATGAAGAAGAAGAGGCCGAATGAAGATCGTGATGCTGATGATGATGATGATGCTGATGCTGATGCTGATGATGATGATGATGATGATGATGATGATGATGATGATGATGATGATGATGATGATCGGGATGATGATGGTGATGCTTCTCAAAAAGATGCTGATTCCAATGATGACGTTGATGATACTGCTGCTGCTGAGGATGATGAGTAAAGTAATTGTTGGTGGTGATGCTGATGATGATTCTTATGATGATGATACTGATGATGATGCTGATTCTGATGCTGCCGATGATGATGCTGATGCTGATGCCGCTGATGCTGATGATGATGCTGATGATGATGCCGATGCTGATGATGATGGTGATGCTGATGCTGATGATGATGCTGCTGATGATGATGCTGATGATGATAATGATGACGATGCCGGTGATGATGCTGATGATGATCATGCGTACGAAGGGAACGAGGCGGATGATGATGGCAAGGAGAATGAGGATACGGAGGTGGAGGAACATGAGGAGAAGGATACGAGGGACGAGCAGGAGGATGAGGAAGAGGAGGAGGATGACGCGGAGGAGGAGGCGGTGGAGGAGTAGGAGGGGGAGGAGGATGATGAGGATGAGGGGGGGGGGAGGGGGGGGGGGGGAGGGGGAGGAGGAGGAGGAGGATGAGGAGCAGGATGAGGAGGAGGAGGAGGAGGATGAGGAGGAGGAGGAGGAGCAGGAGGAGGAGGATGAGGAGGAGGAGGAGGAGGGGGGAGGGTTATGATGATGCTGATGCTGATGGTGATGATGATGATGATGGTGATGTTGTCTATTAGGATGGGGACGATGGACATGCACACGAGGACGATGACGATGACGATGGCGATGATGATGCTGATGTTGATTCTGCTGATTATGATGCCGATGATACTGGCGATGATGATGCTGCTGTTGGTGTTGTTGCTGTTGTTGATTATGGTGGCGATGATGATAACGATGGCCACGACAATGATTATTACGATGGTTATGCCGATTATGATCATGATTCTAATGGTGCGGATGACGATAATGATGATGTTGACGACGGTGGCGAAGATGAATCTGATGCAGATGCTGATGATACATTTGATGATGACGATGGTGCGGATGCTGCTGCTGATGCTGATGATGTTGATGGTGATGGTAACGAGAATCAGAGTGATGATGATAACGATGATGCCGAGGATGATCAGACTGCTGTTGATGATGATGCTGATGTGTGGTGATGATGGTGCTGATGATGGATGCTGCTGCTGATGATGGTGGTGGTGACGGTGGTGGCCATGACGATGCTGATGATGATGCTGCTATGCTGCTGATGATGCTGAGGATGCGGATGATGAGGATTCGAATTAAGACGAAGATGTTGCTGATGATGATCATGATGGTGATGAGGGTGAGGGTGCTGCTGCTGCCGATGATGAGGAGGAGGAGGCGGAGGAGAAGGACCAGTCTAAACCCAAGAGCCATCAACGATGCTGGAGTAAACCCTCCCTCCAAGCTCCCTCGTCACAGGCCCCTACAACGGTTAATTTCCCTTGAGGGAACTGTATCGTTGGAGTACAACCGTTTGAAGACCCTGGCTCATGCAAAAACATTGTTCTCGGGATTCCAACGCCACGGATCAACCTAACTGTTGCACCTTGACGATCCCGAATCGTGCCAGAATGCCATTTCTGGGATTTCAACACCGCGAACCAACGTAACTGATGCACCCTCATAATCCTGCATCCTTCCAACATGCCGTGTCTGGTACGCTGATCATGTGAATCCGTGCAGCTCTTGCGCATTTCGAATGCGCGCGGCGCTAAGGCGAGAGCCACATTTTGAAAAGGAGCCGCCCTCAATCCGTGAAGCTCTTGCAACATTGTAGAACGAATGTGCGCGGTGCTAAGGCGAGAGCCACATTTAGAAAACGGTCCGTCCTCAATCCGTGAAGCTCTTGCAGAGTTTTCACGAATAGTGTACGCGGCGCTAAGGCGAGAGCTACATTTTGAAGACGACCCGCCCTCAGTCCGTGAAGCCCTTGCATTTTTTTCAAACGAGTGGGCGAGGCGCTAGGGCGAGAACCACATTTTGAAAACGACCCGCCCTCAATCCGTGAAGCTCTCGCACATTTTTAAAGCGCATGCGTGCGGCGCTAAGGCGAGAGCCACATGTTCAAAACGACCCGGCCTCCATCTGTAAAACTGCTATCAATTTTTAAGCTTCAGGGTCGTAAATGGCAAGGATGTTTCCGGCAACACGCCCGACCCGCCGTAAAAACTGGCCTCGGGGTGCGACTGAGAGAGAAGATAGTCGGGAGGCAAGGAATGGAGGAGGAGGAGGAGGAGGATTATGATGGTGAGGAGGGGGAGGACGAGGATGATGATAGGTGGATGATGCGAGGGAGAGGAGGAGGAGGAGGCTGCTGCTGCAGCTGATGATGATGCTGATGATGATGCATGCTGATGATACTGCTGAGGATGATGATGCTGGTGATGATATGTCGGCGATAATGATTGGGATCATGCTGATAATGATACTGCTAATGATCCTGCTGCTGATGATGCTGATGATGACGGTAATGCTACTGCTGATGCTGATGAGGGTGATGATGAGGATGAGGACGAGGAGGAGGATGAGGAGGATGAAGACGAGGAGGAGTAGGAGGAGGACGATGAGAAGAAGGAGGAGGATGAGGAGGAGGAGCACAAGGAGGAGCAGGAGGAGGCGTCCAACGGGACCGCTCTCGCGACCAGCGTCCAGCGACGGCCTCGTCGGCCCTGCCCGCAGCAGGTCGTCGGGGCCCGCTGAGTCGCCAGCAGATGGTCGGAAGTTCACAGCTCGACGGTTGCACACGGCCTAGCCTTGCCTGCTGGGGGGGAGGCCCGTGGCCCGAGAGTTTGGCGGCACGCGCTCGAAAGAACGGGAGGAGGAGGAGGAGGAGGAGGAGGAGGAGGAGGAGGAGGAGGAGGAGGAGGAGGAGGAGGAGGACCAGTGTAAACCCAGAACTCATCAACGATGTTGGAATAAACCCTCCCTCCAAGCTCCCTCTTCACAGGGCCCTGCAAGGGGCCATTTTTACCGAGGGAGGTGCCCATTTGGAGACAATCGTTTGAAGATCCTGAAGCGTGCTCGGGACTCCACCGCCACGAAGTAAACTGACTCTTGCGTCTTGACGATGCCCCATCTTAGAGCCGCTGACGTGACAAGTGCCGGGCGATCTGCGCGCCTTCCTTCTGGCCGCAGGGCGCCCGTCGAAGCCTCCTCGAGCAGTGCTTCCTGGGTGCGCCCTCCGGACTGCGCTGGCTCCTGGCTCGATCGGACAGACTGTTCGGGAGAGCTCGTCAGGTTCGAAACGCACATCAGCCTGGCGAAGGGCCCTACACTGTGCAGCTACGCGTAGCCTTGCATGTGGCCCTCACCTCCCAGACTGCGCGCCGAGGGAAGGATAGAGTTCGGGGCAGTGCGGATAGGGCAGGGGTGTGTCGAAGTGAGCTGAGGCCCGCATGCAAACGCGCTCACTGGGGCCACAGCTTCACGCAGTGCACGATCCGTGTGAGGGGTGTGCCCAGTTTCGGCGCACGCGACCGCGCAACCTAGTGCCGTGGGCCCACAAGGCAGCCCGCTTCTGCCCATACTGAGGGCGCGGGCCCTGCTCGACTGTTTCCGGCGTTGCTCTCCTCTTCCCTTCCCGCTGCCCTTTTGGGCTGCGAGGAGGAGGCGGCGGATGATGATGATGATGATGATGATGATGATGATGATGATGATGATGATGATGACGACGATGATCATTACGATAATGATGATGCTGCTGATGATGATGACGAAGATACTGATGATGCTGATGATGGCGATGATGACGAGGATGAGGATGACGACGATGATGATGATGATGATGATGATGATGATGATGATGATGATGATGATGACGAAGTTGATGATGCTGAGGATGATGACGATGATGATGCTGATGATGATGACGATGATGCTGATGATGATAATGAGGATGATGATGAGGATGAGGATGAGGATGAGGATGAGGATGATGATGACGATGATGATGATGACGACAACGACGATGATGATGACGACGAAGATGCTCATGCTGAGGATGATGACGATGATGACGATGATGCTGCTGATGATGACGATGATGCTGCTGATGCTGATGCTGATGGTGATGATTATGAGGATGAGGATGAGGATGACGATGATGATGAGGATGAGGATGAAGATGATGATGATGATGACGATGATGATGCTGATGCTATGATGATGACGGAGATGCTGAGGATGATGCTGATCATGACGATGATGATGACGATGACGCCGATGATGATGATCATGATGATGATGTTGATGATGATGCTGATGATGCTGAGGATGATGACGATGATGATGATGCTGATGCTGATGACGATGATGTTGATGATGACTATGATTATGATGATGCTGCTGATGATGATGAGGATGGGGACGAGGATGATGATGATAATGATAATGAGGATGAGGACGATGCTGATGATGCTGACGACGATAATGACGATGATGCTGCTGCTGATGATGATGATGCTGACGAAGATACTGAGGATGATGATGATGATGCTGATGATGAGGATCATGATTACGAAATTGATGATGCTGATGATGATGACGCTGATGATGATGACGATGATGCTGCTGATGATGAGGATGATAATGAGGATGGTGATGATGATTTTGATGATTATGATGAGGATAAGGGTGAGGATGCGGATGATCATGAGGATGAGGTTGATGCTTATGATGAGGATGAGGATGAGGGATGAGGATGATTATGATGATGATGATGGCGAGGATGATGATGATGATGGTGGTGATGAGGATGAGGATGATGATGGTGGTGATGATGATGATGATGATGATGATGATGATGATGATGGTGGTGGTGGTGGTGGTGGTGGTGGTGATGACGATGATGCTGCTGCTGTTGATGATGATGATGATGAGGATGAGGATGAGGATGAGTGTGAGGGTGAGATGATGATGATGATGATGATGATGATGATGATGATGATGATGATGATGATGATGATGATGATGATGATGATGATGATGATGATGATGAGGAGGAGGAGGAGGAGGAGGAGGAGGAGGAGGAGGGGGAGGCTGGAGAAGGAGGGCCGAGACCCTCGTCCTTGGCTCTCGTCCTGCGCTGGCGCAGCTCGCACTGCCGTCTCCCATCTCCGCCTCAGCGACGCTCGGGGTCAGCGAGGGGTGTGCTGGCCCGGAGCAGAGGCCGGCGTGTGCGAGCGCGCCCTCCTGGGGCCGCAGGCGGGGCGCCCTCTCGGGGCAGGAGCCGAGCGAGGGGTGTGCCGAAACTGCCAGGGGCCTGCATCGGGCGACGACATCTACACACGTCCACTGCTTCCTTTTTTTTTTGTTGTTTCCTCCTCCAGCTTCCACGCCAGCCACTCCTTCCAACAACAAAAACAAAAACACGTCCACTGCTTCCTGGCCAGCCCCATCCTGAGCCCAGGAGCCGTGTGTACGCCCTCCCGGCCAAGCCAGGAGGGCGTGGCGCCTGCACCGCTGCCGGGTTCAGGATCTGCCTGGCCAGGGAGCAGTGGAGATGTGCAGATCTCGTCCTCCTGCTGCACAGGTGAACGCGCTCGCTGGAGCTGGAGCTGGAGATCCCTCTGCTGCATGATCCGCGGCAGGGGTGTGCCGAAGATCGGCGTGGGGGCGCGCAGGAACGCCGTCGCTGCGGGCTGTGCCCGCGGCTCCCTCTGGTGCACGATCCCGGGGATGGGGTGTGCCAGAATGGATTGAGGGGTGCGCAGGAGCTCCGCCACGCGCAGAGGGGGGTGGGGGGAGCGGGAGGGCTTCTTAGAAGCACCCCAGCTTCTTGGAAGGCGCGGGCCTTATCTATAGATGTAAGGCCAGCGCCTTCTAAGAAGCAGGGGTGCTTCTAAGAAGCCCTCCCCCCTTCCCCCACCCCCTTGTGCGCGCTGCCAAGGAGCGCCCTCGCTGTAGCCGTACTTGGAGTTCCCTTCGGTTCACGGCCCGCGTGACGGGCGGGGGGCGATCTTGGCGGGGGGCGCACAGGAACGCCATCGCTGGGAGCGGACACGATCCGTGTGAGAGGTGTGCCGAAGCAGCAGCGGCAGCCGCAGGAAGAGGGACGGAGGCAGGAAGCCGGGAGGGAGTGAGAAGATGGGTGGTGCGTCGGAGAGCCAGCGAGGGCCCAACAACACAGGGAGGGTTGCTGTGCTAGCTTTGTTTTTGTCCTCTTCGTCCTCTTCCCGATCCTGCAGCTGCTGCTGCTCCTTCCACAATCACTTGGGCTCGAGCCGTCGGGGCTTTAGATCCTTCCCGTGGCGCTGCACGGGTTTCAGTCCAGAGGGGTCTGGGGCGCTCTGGCACCAGGTGGGGCTATGAAGCTCACACGGTTCTTGGGCAAGCTGGTGAACGAGACGGTGACCATAGAGCTCAAGAACGGCACCTCTGTCCAGGGTACCCTTACCGGGGTGGACGCGTCGATGAACACTCACCTGAAGCAGGTGAAGGTGACGGTGCGGCACAAGAACCCGGTGGGCATGCACTACCTGTCCATCCGCGGGTCGAACATTCGCTACTACATCCTCCCGGACCACTCGGATCTGAACTACCTGCTCATCGACGACGCTCCCAAGCAGAACCCGCCCAAGTTCCCGATCGGCAGCTTCAAGGGCCGCGGCAGAGGCCGCAAGGTCGGCGGGGACGGCGGCGGCCGTGGCGGGGGCGGCGGCGGCGGCAGAGGCGGGAGGCGGTGAGGTGGCCAGCGTGTGGCGGGGCAGGCGGCAGGGGGGCCGGTGCGCGGTGGGCACTTCCGCCCTCCTGCAACGCGCGCGGCGGCGAGGGAGCGGCAAGGCCGCATTGAGGGCGGGGGGGCCGCGCCGCCACGCTTGCAGCCTGCCGGGGCTCGGGTGGCGCGCCCGTCCGCGCCGCCATCGCTCGCGCGGCCTACCTCTTGGGGGGGCAAGAAGAGCGCAGCTGCCCCGCCCATCCTGGCAGGGAGGAGGAGGAGGAGGAGGAGGAGGAGGAGGAGGAGGAGGAGGAGGAGGAGGAGGAGGAGGAGGAGGAGAGGAGGAGAGGAGGAGGAGGAGAAGGAAGAGGAGGAGGAGGAGGAATCGCAAGGAGGAGAAGGAGGAGGAGGAGGAGGAGGAGGAGGAGGAGTCGCAAGGAGGAGGAGGAAGAGGAGGAGGAGGAGGAGGAGGAGGAGGAGGAGGAGAGGCGGATGATGATGATGATGATGATGATGATGATGATGATGATGATGATGATGATGATGATGATGATGATGATGATGATGATGATGATGATGATGATGATGATGATGATGATGATGATGATGATGATGATGATGATGATGATGATGATGATGATGATGATGATGATGATGATGATGATGATGATGATGATGATGATGATGATGATGATGATGATGATGATGATGATGATGAGGAGGAGGAGGAGGAGGAGGAGGAGGAGGAGGAGAGGAGAAAGGGGTGGAGGATGGGGTGGAGGAGGGTGTGGATGATGATGATGATGAGGAGGAGGAGGAAGAGGAGGAGGAGGAAGATCAGAGGAAACCCGAGATGTGTTGAAGAGGCTGCAATACGCTCACCCGGCCAACTTCCCCTTGAATCCCTGCAGCAACTTGTTTTCATGGTGGGCAGCGGCGCTCCCTCGAATTCAGGTCGTGCAATCCAGGTGTGGGCCCCGATTTGAGGAGGAGCTGTCATGTATGCTTTTAGCTTTACGGGCGGCGACGAGGTAGGCTTGTAATGTTCAGAGGAAGTCTGGCGATAGCCAGGCTTTGAAAACGAGCTTCCATACATCTGTGCAGATGTTCTCGCATGCGACACGTCCGCCCATAAAGCCGAATGACATCTCAAGCGAGGGCCCCGCTTCTATCCGTGTTGGACATCTCTAGCGACAGTCCTTGGTGGAGAGGGAGCCGCGCTCCATCCGTGTAGCTGCTGGGAACTGTTAGCATGAATGCACGCGGCGCTAAGGGGAAGCAGCAATCCAACAAGAACCTTCTTCCATCCGCGTAGACGTTGGAAGCTTGTAAGACGAATGTCCGCGGCGTTGAGAGGAGAACCAGATGTTGAAAACGATTCCTCCCCGATCCAAGCAATTCTTTGGATCTTTTAACACGGATGTGCGCGTCGCTAATTCTAGAGCCACATTTTGAAAGCTACCCCCCTCAATCCGTGTACCTTTCGGACGCTTTGGAAACGAACGCGCGCGGCGCTAAGGCGAGAGCAACAGTTTGGAAATGGCCCCTCCATCCGTGTACTTGGTGGAAGTTTTGCAGACGATATCGATGATATCGACAGTTTGACAACGAATCCGTCTCCACCCGTGTAATTACTGGCATGGTGAAGACGGCTGTGCGCGGCGATAAGGCGAGAGCCACGTTGTGAAAAGAGCGGCCCTCCATCGGTGTATTATTCAGCAGCTTTAAGGCGAAGGTGTGCGGCGATATGGCGAGATCCACACTTTCGAAACGAATTCCATTTCATTCTTGTGATTGTTGGACTTTTTAGACGACTGTGCGCGGCGCTACGGCGAGAGCAACATTTTAAAACGTCCCCCGCTGTATCCGTGCCTCTTGTGAGAGCTTTTGAAACAGCACTGCGCGGCGTGGAGGCGAGAGCCACAGTCTGGAACTCGCCCCTTTCGTCCGTGTAGCTGATTGGACCTTCAAGCTTCGGGTGGTCATAGGGGTGGATGAAATCTCAGGCGGAACGCTTGGCACGTCCTATCAACATGTTTGATGACCAGACGAAGAGGAGTTAAGTGTTGACGCTTCGCGTATCCCCACCAGTCCTTGGGTCGACATCCATTCGGACCCCAGGAGGAACACAAGGGAGCTGTGCGAAGAATTCCTGCGGGCGTGGGAAGCTGCGGGTTACGACGCCTATAAGTTGGTGAGGCACCACCATCTTCGGGTGGAATGGCAAAAGGTCACCGAGAATTATCGTAACCTACTACATCGCGGCGCAAGGGTCAGCGCACCCAAGGGGCAAGACAGCAAGGGCCACCCATACCCTTGGTCCGACAGCAGCAGGGCAGTACCCCCCCCCCCCCGTCCCACCCGACAGGGCAAGCCACCACGAACAGACCCAGCCCTCCAGCACACACAGCGGGGCTTTGCAGCAGCACCCGTGGAGCAGGCCCAGAGCTGACACAGCCGCCCCGCCAGCGTACACCGACTACAGGGAGACCACCTGGTCGGGAACATCCAGCTCTGGAGCCCCATGGCGCCCAAGGCCGCGCTGGGAAGGGTGGGACCACCAGGATAGCTCATGGAGGGGAGCTCCGTGGGGGAACAAGGAGAAAAGGACCGCCCCGAGAAGTGACGAGCAATACGCCGACAAGCGGCAGCGAGGAAGGGAACTCGCGCGCTGGTAGCCCGGCAGCTGGCCTGGCAGAGGCCCCCCGACTAGGGCGAGGCCGGCCCTATCAAAAGCCGCCAAGGCGCACGGCGTTGGGCTTCTGGGACAACGAGCGACCCCCTTCGCGGAAGACTTGCCGCGCACGTGTACCGTGGGACTGTTCTCCCCTAGGACATCCCACCTCAGACGATGTCCTGCGGCTCAGGCCGCTCGCCCCGACCTCTCGCTTCACTTTCCAGTTCCGCGGCTATCGGCTGCACTCCCCTTCCCTCGTCGCCACGTGCTATCTGTTGTCCTGCGGCTATCTGCTGCTGACCCCCTTTCTCGTCGCCACTGCTTCTACACTTAAGACTGCGGCTATCGGCTGCTAGCCCCCCTTCCTCGTCGCCACAGGGGGGCGACTTCCGCCGGAAGATGAGTTGCGGTGGGCCCCAGGGCCACTGGATTCCCACCAGGCGGCCACACCTTTCGACACAGCTAGCGACAGGACGTGTTTCACCGATGCAGTGGGCCACGGGGGCGGACTGATGTTACCTCCTGGGGTTGAGGTAAACCCCCACCACCGCGATAGTTCCTGCCTTCTCGTGGGCCTTTAGCCCGTACGGCCGGCTGGAATAGTCCCGTCGTCGGTTTGGCCGCAGTGGCGGCCCGTGGTGCTCCAAGATGGCTCGCTCAAGACGCTTTCTCCCGCTCTCGGCACGCTCCACTCAATCACTTTGCCCGCGCCGTGTGCGGGCCGGGACGCATCGGACGCTGGCCTCAGCCCCTCCAGGTGCCCCATCTTTTGGAGTCGGCAACGTGCAGTGACTTCCACGTCGTCGCCCGCAGGAGCGGCGATCACCTCTGACCCCCTTGCACATGGGCGTGTAGACAGTGCGGTCGGCAGTTTTGGACTCATAGGTTGGCCGCTTGCCGGCTGCGGCGGACACGGTCGTCGGCCAAAGGCACCGCCCTGACGCTTGTGCTAGACGTTGGCTGCCACAGTTGGGCCTTCTGGGAGCGGAGGCTCCACACCGCCTTGGTGCCTGCGGCCATCGCGGGCGCCCTCTCCTGTGGTTGGCTGGCACCCTTCAGGCATTGGCCCGTGCCCCCTCGGTGGCTTGCACACCGGCCCACGCCCTAAGAGGCAAGTGGGTGGTTTGGTCCCGCCTGGCAGTCTGACTCCACCTGCGGGTCCGACCTATTTCCGCCCGCCCCCCTTCTGCTGGCACACGCTCAGCGGCTTTTGGGGTCCGCGTGGTGGCGCCTGGGCTTCAGCTGGTGCCTTCGCGGTTGCCTCTTTTGCTGGCACATGTCCAGCGTCGTTAATTATCTGCAGGTGCACTCTGCGCGGTGTCGCGCCAATTATCTGTCGCTGTGCCCCAGCCTCGGTCACCCCGCCCTCTGGACTTTTCCTTGCGGGCCGCGAATCCAAAAAAGTATCCCCACCAGTGCTGGGGCGGGGCGCGACGTGCCTTACGGCCCTGGCCGTTACAGAGCTGTTTTCACTCTGATCTTTGCCTGGACCTCGTCACGGCCTGGCGTGGTTGCCCTGGCGCTGGCCCTTTCGTGACGTCCTCGACTCACGCGTCTTGACCAGTACAGGCGCTTGTGCTTGCACTCCCCTGGGCCCTGGTCCCCACACACCGCCCGGCTTGGCCGTGTCTGGCTCCCACTCCGCCATTGGCGCTGGGCTTCGTCCCCCTCAGCCTCGGTGGATGTTCTGTGGTACCGAGTGAGCCCCCCTGGCCTTCAGGTTTCGCGCGTTCTGACCAGTTCCAGCAGTGCTTGCACTTCCCTGGCTCTGGTTGTCAGCTGGCCATCTGGGGTACTGGCCCGCCGTGTCGTTCAGTAGTGGTTCAGCCTTCTGGTGCGGCCTGGCATGTCACCTGGCGGTCTGATTCCCTGTCCTGTGGCGCCCGGTGGCGACGAGGCCTAATTCTCGTGCCTGGTGATTCAGCTCCCATGGTACTCGCACGTTGCAGCATCCCAGCCGCCTCCGCAGCTGGCAGCTTCTCCCCCCGGCGCAGCTCAGCCTCGGCGCGGCTCTCTCGGCGGTAGGTCTTGCCTGCCTTGCTCGGCGCGCGCGCCGGCAATTAGGTGCCTAGCTCGGCGCACGCGCCGGCAATTAGGTTATTCGTAGCCCGAGCTAACTCTGCTGACGCTGTCGGACCCCTTGCAGCCGCGACAACAAAATCCCCACCAGCCCATCCAGAAACGATGCCCAGGAGAGCTGACGGGAGAAGGGAGGAAGAGACGCACATAATGAAACAGCGCGGGCAACAACGGTGAATTACGAGATCTCTGGTAGCGAATGGTACGGGTGCTGCTGTTGGTGCTGTTGCTGCTGCTGCTACTGCTGGTGGTGGTGGTGGTGCTGCTGCTGG